GTAAGTAGACCTACTTATTATGCAAATACATTTCAAAAACATTGCATTGGTCTGCTGGCATCCCATAGAGCTTTCTGGCTAAATGGCATAATAAAGGCACAATGGTTTATCTTTTACCTTTTAGTAGTCTTATTTGAATTAGAACTCTTTAAAACAAAGAACATCATGAAAAAAAAATACAACTCAACCTAGGTTGATTATGTATCATATCCCAGCTTGTCCGTATCTCATCTGGCTTTGACTACAGCTACAGTGATTCCACAGTAGAAGCAAATAGTTAAACAAAACTCCAGAGCAGACATTAGTGTGACCTCCTGATCTCATTCTGGTTAATTATGAAAGAAGGGATTTCCACTTGCTGCTGACTGTTCGTGTACTGTTAGTTGGACGGGACTATTTGAGTTCGTGCTATTGCTGTCAGTAGGAATTGTTGGCCTGAAGCCAGTCTTGGACCAGTATGTAAGATTTCCACATCTTCAAGCTTTCTGAGAATGTTCAGTTCCAGGTAAAACTGTATTGGCAACGGTATACAGTTCAACTTGAATGGCAGATTGCAGTCAAGTGTGTCCTACTCACCATGTCTAGAATGTGCCAAGTGCACTTTTGGTATTTTCGTGACCAGGCTTGGCTGATGCACCTGTAGCATATTTAACCTCTAAAGACCCGAGCTCTTGCTTGATATGTATTTTTTTTATTTCTCTTTGTTATTTGATCTGATCAAATAACAAAGAGAATAAAAAATATATTTAAAAAAAACCCAAAAATATATATAATTTTTTTAAAGTAAAAAAATAAATAAAAAATAAAAAATTATATATATATTCAAAAAATGTTTAAAAATATAACAATAATAAAATGAAAATAGTAAAATTATAAAAAACTTAAAAAAATATTATATATATATATATATAAAATTAACTACTGTGGTAATATAACCCAAAATGTGATGTCCACGCATGTGGGTCTTAAGAGGTTAAGCCATACTGGGAGGGATGAGAAACAATGCTTTATCAGACAGTATAGGGGAACACACTGCTATTTGTGACAGCTGAGGCAAATCACACATTTCAACATGTGACTTTGTCGCTCTGGCAATAAACTTGTACATTTTTGTCCCAGGAAGCACCACAAGATAACAAATTCAGAACAGTCACTTTCAGTTTGTGCTGCTCCTCACAGCCACATGTCTACCTTCATAGTAATTTAAAGCTGAACATGTCCATCTCCTATATGTTTGTTGTGGATAACTTGCAGGACGACTGGTGGTTGTTTAGCCAGCAGAACTGCAGATCATGATTTAAAACTTGCGACGTTACTCCACTTAGAGACTGCAAAGATGGAGCTAAAGAGCGTAAAGGAGAGGCTGTCAGTATGGACAGGTTGCTGCTGTGGATTACAATGCTGGTAGGACCTACTCATTGTTCTTTATTCTGTTAAATTCACTATTAGAATGCAATTAAATTTTTTGCTGTGTGATCAGTCAGCTGTTTGAAAAGCATGGAATATAAGCGGAAAGAAGAACAAAGTGCTAATAAAGTGGTTTACGTGGTTTTAGGGGGGTTTATATGGGTGTAACTTCATCAAGTAAAGTGACCAAAGTATAATACGGAACACAAGTGCACTGAGCAATTTTCTGATCAGGCAGCAGCTTGTGAAAGACAAACTCATTCTTGGCACTAGTGGTGTTCAGAAAAAAAAAAAAAAAAAAACTACAGTGAACTGACTGCACTGAATCATCATTGTCACTGTCCGAATGAAGAACTTTCAGCACACCTTCCCTCACTGGTAGTTCTGCTGTCAGCTCAACTGTGATTCGCCTTTCGATGCTTCTTTGTTAAAAGAGCCACGAAAAGCGCTGCAAGAATGAATCTCAAACTTCATTAAATGAAGCGATTTGCATCAGCAAACAGGGTTATGATTTGTACCTCTACTTGGCAGCAAGATTGCAGTGCATGGCTGGATCTGCACACCTTCTCCTACACTTGTCCTCCCAGTGCGGGTCCATAACAAGTCACCAAGACACCAAACCGATGCAGTTGTAAAAATAACCTCAGTACACCACAGAAAAGGACAAATTCTCCTTTGCGTTCCCTGCCCTGAGCCAGCATTGAAATAGAGCCTGACGTATTGTTATGGAACCGTTTCAGCTGTTCCTTCTTAGCCCCTTTGTAAGTCTAGTCTGTTAATTACACTGACCTCCTCTAAAGATGTGGCTTTGACGTGCGTCTCAGACTTTTCTCTCTTGTTTGAAGCCCAACCTTCAGACCTTTGCGTCTGTCCTGCTTTCAGTGCCTTGACCTTGTCTCTAGCCTTCCACTGACCCCTTTTAAAAAGCTCAACCCTCAACCCTTTGACTCCTGTCTGGAGTTCCTTTCAACTTCATCAATATGAAAGGGCCCTTATATGCACCTTGTCAAAACTTGGTCCCTTGGACTCTTAGTCCTGTTTTGACCCCTCTTAAAGAACTTAAGCAACACGTGTGTACATCTGTGTGAATGTCCTTTTGTGTCTGTGGAAATGAATGAGTGTGAGAGAAGCAGGACGAGAAAATGCAAGAACAAAGATAAAAGAACAACATTGGTGTGTGTGTGTGTGTGTGTGCGCGCGCGCGCGTGTGTGTGTGTGTGTGTGTGTGCGTGTGCGTGTGTTTCAAAAGACAGAAAAAAGTCAGCCTTCATATGCTACCTTCTTTTGTCTGTGATCTTTTGAAGTCTTGGGCCTTATAGGATCCCATAAAAATGGATGCAGCATTAGTCAGTAGAATGGCTGAGGGTTATGCTAAATATCCACAATCTATTGGATTAAATCCCAAAGTTAACATTCTGTCAATTGTCTATACACGAATCAAAGGCTGTCAGTTTCTTTTTCTTTTTTTTGTGTGGCAAAGATCACAAAAGAGTTCAAGGTGTATGTGTGTGCATGTGTGTGCATGTGTGTGTGTGAACTCATTTACTCCCAGACAGTCATGCAAAACAGCATTCAAGACCAGTATATGGTGTGAAAGAGTCACAATGGAGCTCAACCATGACCATCCAGTCCTGAATGCACACACACACAAACCAATGTTGTGCTGTACCATCCCACTAACCAAACAGTGTCCCAGTGCTGTTTGGGTGACTGGGTAGGGATCAGTCACAGTCTGGTAGCTGGACCCCCAGACGGTGCGCGTCGATGACGGGGTTCGCTGTGTGACAGGAACAAATGGAGTGACGCGGTGGTTGTTTCATTTATTTAAAAAAAATTTTTTTTTAAATCCAAAATCAGGTTAGGCCTATTAAGAGCCAAAATCTCCTTTTCGGTCCACAAAGACAGCTGGAATTCAAGACAATACAAAGACAGAACAATGCAACATAATGATTGGATGCGGTTGGGTTAGTTGGTATAGAAGAGCGGGTTGGGGGCGGTGGTGGCGGACAGAGCCATATACCGGCGTTGTGCGTCCAGTTGTACTCAGTTTAGTCCGAACCTAGGTACCAGTATACACCAGAGAAGAACACAAAGTTCTTTACCACTAACACTAAAATTCAAAATTTGCAGGCAAATCGAGGATTATACATTTTCAATCTCTTTTAGTCGAACCCTTATTTTGAGGAATGGAGACATCAGGGTGGAATTCTACTTCAAGCTTTATTCTCACAGTGAGTCGATTCTTTTTGAAGTGCTCATTAAATCGTGTTGGCAAAGTTAATTTAAATCTCACAAATGCCTTAAGACTTCATAGGGGTTGCAGTTGGAGCTCTAAAAAAATGAATATCTCTGTAGACAAACTTCTGCTTTTAAGGCAAAAGTGGCTAATTCAGGATCGCCATGAAGCAGCGTGATGCAAGGAGACACAAATTTGACAAAATTCTTCTAAAAAAACCTTTCAACTTCTGAAATAAGCTGTTATTTAGGTTAAAACAGGTTGTTAGAGCACATTAGCTGTGTGTGTTAGAGTGTGTCAAACACTGAACAAGGGAAACCAGCCAAAGTGTGAAGACTAGTTGTTTAAACAGTGATACAAATTGTAGTATGGCAACTTCCCTAATTCACAAATTAAAGGTGCTTTTACAGAATAGCACGATGAGCACCGGTCTCATCATCGTTTCATCGATGTAATGCAATATCTCTGGAGGAAACAAACATACGTCTGATGTTAAGCAAAAAAAGCATCAGTGATAGAAATTGGGTGGAATTACATCTAGCACAGAGAAGAACAGAAAACACTTCTGAAACAGAATCCAGTTCTGCCTGCATTGTCTGTCAGTGCTCTAAATGAGGCAGAACAAGCAACCACAACAGCTTTTATTACAGCATCAGAGGAGGTCTTCTGTGTACGACACGGACGCACACAGACACACAGTCAGTTGTGGTGTTTTTCTGAACACAGTAGTCGGCCCCAGTACGTCCTGTTCCCTCTCCTGCTGTTAGGTCCTGCACGGGACGCTCGTCTGCACACACACACACACACACACCCTCACACACACACACACACACACACACACACACGAATGATAAGTCGTCATCCTCAGTAGTTGTAAATGCCAGAAGCAAATAAAAAAAAAAAAAGGGTTATACATAAAGAAACATGACTGCTCCTTTTGTGTAATTTATTTATTTGTTTGTTTGTTTTCATTTTGGAACAGTTTGGCAATTTTGCAGAGACTGAACTGTACTGGGTCTGTCTAACAGAGGTCAAACCAGGACAGTATGATTAAACTGATATCTTACCTGCTTTTTGTCTGTACTCCGTTACGTACCTGATCATGTTCGCAGACTGTTTGTTGAATCCAACACTGTTTGTACACGAGCAGTGTAGAAAAAAAGTTGGCATCCATGTACAATTTTTGAATGTCATGTTTTTGTTTAGTTGTGTTTAGGTTTCTGATCCACTGACTGTTTTTAAAAGCTTTTTTTGACACTTGTTTGGCTCCTGTTACAAACTTTCCTATGGGGTGACATGATTATAAGTTTATTATCATTATTATTTTAAATTGTGTTCTTTTCTGTCTCTCTCTCAGCAGGACAACATAGATCGTTCCTCCAACCACAGACAGGCTGATCTCATTGGTCCGAGCTTCCAGCAATCTGCCAATCAGAGTTCTCCTAACCATCAAGGTTAGTCGTCAGCTGCCACTTGATATTGCTGTGTATGTATCTGCACAAGTGTGTGTGTGTGTGTTTGCTGAAGCTTGTGCGTCAGACATGTTCAATAATCTCTAGTTAGCATAGTGTTCTATGACATGGATACTCTGACATCAAATTACCTTTGATTTCACATGTGCAGTGGGACTTGTCATATGATATTTTATTCCTAGTGGGACAGGCTGTTTTGCACGTGAGCTCGCCGTGCATTTCTCATTTATTTTTTTTGTACACCAGAGAACAACGAGAAGGCCATAGAAATTCTTGGAAGGCTGGATTTGTGCGTGTGTGTCTCTTGTTTCAGTTCAGCGTGGAGGACGGCTTGCTGGTCATTATCCTCCACTCGGCCAGGGGTGGGTTGAGGGTATAATATATATTTGGGTCTCTTCCGCTGTAAACATTTCTGCTGTTCAAAGGGTGATCTGCATGGACACAGGGTGCCATTATAATTACGCTGTCTATCTAATTGTGCCATACAGGGTTCATCCATGACAATCGGAGCATGAGATTTAAGCACAATATTGGCTCAGCATGGGAGGTAAGGGTGGGGAGCCTGTGAGGACTCAACCAGTGAATTAGAACGCTTGGCGCTGGCATGGGAAATAAATGGAGCAGAAATTACATTGTCATTTTTCAGGATCAGCCGGGATGGAGGGAACTCAGAAGGGACCGGAGAGGCAGATGAATTGGGATGACTTTAACTAAGCAACATTTTTGTTTAAACTAACCAAATATTGGTAATTTGAATGAATTCCCAGATTTTTTGTACTGTAGATTGTGCCAGACGTGTTTCGGACCTGATTTATGGGCACTGGTTCTGTAGACCATTTAGATTTTTGACAGATATCCTTCACCTGTCATAGTCTTTACTTTTTGAAAAAAATTAAGTAGTTAGTGGCATATTAGGGCCAGGAAGTCATTACTTTTAAGAACTTTAAGCACTTTTGTTTACTTTATGTTCTGCTCAAAGTCTGTATCTGTTTACTGTTATCTCTGATGTTCTCATAAAGTCATAAACAGTTGTGTGCAAGCCAATATTTAAAGTCAAGAAATAGAAGTTGCTCCACATGATATTGCAAGCATGTAGTCTATCAGCTGAGTTATCCATGTGATGTTGTGCTGGGAATTTACTGTGTTTGATAAAGTTTAACGCGGTCTCGCGAAATGCCCAGAAAACTGACGACAAGGCCGTGTTGTCCTGTGCCTTGGCATGACACATGTGAGTCATCTCTGTCACAGATGCGATGTCACAGGCTTGCACGATGCAAATGCTTTCTTCTCTTTGTTGTTTCTCCCTGCTATATGCACACGTCAGAGTGATTTCTGTTGTGTTGCTGGGCTCATTGTATGTGGGGTCATACAGCTCCGCGCAACTTGCTCTGTGCACAAAGGCCACATATCAAATTCAGAAATGTTTAATCTAGAGATAGGTCCGGGTGCCTCTATCTTGTCTCCAAATGTCTGGTGTCAGTAACTATGATAAGACAAGGAGTTTATGTAGTTCACTTGTACTCAGTAAGGCAGGCATTGGCATTAAGATCTGTTAGATATGAGTTCCTGAACTTTATCTCGCACTTTGGAATATTTTGTCTGGGCATTGTTCTGTCCTTTATCGAGTACAAAAATAAAACAACTTGTGGAACAAGGGAATAAACAAGGTAGTCAGACATGAAACTGAGCTGCCAGCGTAGTCAGTCATTAGTTTATTGTAGTAAAAGGAAACTGTGTCAACTGCAAGATAAAATCATATGACTATGTGAGGGTTATTTAGTTGTTTTATTGACCAGTGTCTCTGAATATCATGTCCTGAGATATCTGAGGTGAGGAAGATACGTCCTGTTCCAGAACGATATCACAGTGCAGTAGATCTGGACCTTATGTGTATTTATGGAGTGATAATTCTGTGACATTGTGCTACAACGCTTGTTAGCAAAACGTCAGCTACCACTGCAACTGATGTGACTGTAAGACGCTTGAGAGAGATTCACTTGTCTTTTTAAATGGATGTCAAGAAAGGTTTAATGTACACGCAGGACTGAGGGGAACTCTACGAACATGCCTCAGACTCTCGCTGCTAACATGGATGTGACCATTGTTCATGGGAAGGCAGGGATAGTTAGGAGTGGGGGGGTGTCTCAGATGGGTATGCAGCTGCTAGGCAACAAATCCCATCAATGGTACCAATGCAGTGCAGTAATCTGATGGCGTGGCTCTGGAGGGGTTAACCAGTCAAGATCTCAGGCCTGGAAATGAAGCTCCCACCTCCTCCAGTTATTCTGGTTATGCCTTTATAGGGGGAGAATGACATGACACACATGCACACACACACACATACGTGCATGTGCATACACATGCACACAAACACACACTTGCACTCACAAACAGCAAGTCACAGCTTTTTCAGCCAACTCATGTGGAATCGAACACGGAATCAAACATCAATGCTTTAAACCTAGAACATCAACGGCATTATTCGATGTCTATTCTCTGACCTTGTCGCTTTCCACAAAGAAACGTCAAGCTCCACGCTGCAGGAATCGGGGTGACACAATGCCACCTCGCTCCCTATGCTGAGGCTACACTCAGCGCCTACAAGTGGATGTCGAGTTACAAAGGAGGCTGAAATTCTTTCAGCAGCTGCATAGCTTTCAGGTGAGCGGTTAGCGCAGGCATGCAGCAAAAGAATGAGCAGCGCGCTGATTACTTAAGTACATCAGTGTGATTAAAAGGGTGTGCTGGATATGTGTTGCAGTGAGAGGAGTATACGATGTGACTTAAGACCTAAAACCCACACTTTGTAAGCAAGTCAGTGCACCAACGTTACGGATAAACCAGTTGAAAAACCTAAATCGCTATAACCAGAACCTGCGATCAGGGCTTACAGTTCCTTTTTTGTTTGTTTGTTTGTTTTATTTAAAATGATAAAATCAGGAGTATTGATCCTCACACAACCATGTGAAGTGACTTCTGTTGAAGTCACTGTTTGACCCCCACTCTCCCTTCCACAGTTCAAATATGTTTCTTTCTGTTTACTCCCGTCTCTCCTTTCTGTTCTCGTCCGCTCTCTGTTTCCCTCTGACCGTCCCACAGCCTCCCTCCCCATCAGGAGGCTTGGCCCTCAGTGGGTGTGTGTGCTGTCATCAAAGGTATTGTACTCCCCAGTGCAGAGCCACGCTTTACAGTTTAGACTTACTGTGCCTGTACTCCCACTGAAGCCTTTGAATGGAAACCCCTCTGCTGGCCTTGTATTCAGAGGCAGTTTATCCCCCTCGTGTGTCTCCTGCGTGTGCGTATGCGTTGATGAACTATATATGTAAACCCTTTACATTCCTCTTTTTTTTCTCTCTCTCTGCTTTTGTTTTTAACTAGCAGGAATGAATCAAAAATGCGTCGACTGCATTCCTGGGTTAAGGAGAGCCATATGGATGTTCTGTCAATACAATAGTCTTGTTTTGGCCGTGTCTCGCTCGCTAATGATCAGAAATATTCAAAACAGCTTTTATGCAGATTCTTACCAGACTTCACCAGTGTACAGTTTGCTATCACTGTACTTGGCGTGGCTCAAACAATAGGCCAAGCTTGGGCTATTTTTACCCCTAATTTAACCGGTTATAGGTTCTTAGAGGAGGAGGGAGGGGGGCTGTACACGTCAGAGGAGCAGAGGAGTAAATGAATTCCACCCAGGGGAGATATAAAACAATGAGGAAATGAGAACAATAATGCCAGTGTTGTTCTATGACCCATCAGGGTTTTATATTTGGAACTGACTTCTACATTGGCAGGATTCTAAAAAAAGACTTTGCTATACATGGAATCATGGTTAAAAAAAACAAACAGCTTGTACACGTTATTAATCAGTTGATGAATAATGCAAGTCATCTTAGTGATGAAATGTGAATTAAAAATTAAAACGATTGGCTCTAATATAGACTAATCAATGATCAGGAAAATAATTGCTGAGTGAACAAAAAGCACAGTGCAAACCACCTCCACATGGATGCGGTCTTTAAGATGATAGGATTCAGGATAATCACACTTCTTAAAGTGAAGGATTTATTTAGAGGAAGGATTTGCTAATGAGGTGTTTGTTTCCTGTGTCTTGTATCCATATATTACACTGTATTAGTCGTGCATTTAACTTCTGGAGGTGTTACTAACCCTGTTTGACATCCATTTTATTCTGTTGTCCCTGCTGCAATCAGCTGTGTGATTCTCCACAGTGGTCCCTACAGCTTTGACTGAACTCCTGCTACCTGTCAGATATTCTTATCTGTTCCCGGTATGTCGCTGATTTGTTGTGTAAACCTACTTGCTGTTTCACGTGGTAGTGAATTTCGTTTCACTTTTTTTCGCCCTAGTTTTCAGAACTTTCCTACATGCTGCAACAGCGCTCGTAACATCTTGACAGTGTACTCGCTGTGCTGTTTGGTAACGTTAAGCAACTGCATCACATCTGCTAATTCTCAGTGTCAACAGCTCTGTCTACATCTGCGGCTCTGTGTGCTCCCTGCTGCCTGAACTGCTCTGATATTTTAAGAGGATCTAATTAATGGCTGGAATATTGTAGGAGCAGGCGCACTGTGACCGTTGTGCATTCGGTGAGCATAAATGAAGTTGTTTACGTCATCTCGTGTGCAGCCGCAGCCAAGGATCTGTCATAACTCCTGTTGACTGAACTCCATGTCAAAAAAAAAAAAAAAAAAAAAGTACAACGGTAGATTCCTCCTTGCTCCAGATCTTCATGGGGTTTAAATCCTGTGCGTGCCTGCATGCTGTCTGTGTCATCAATCTGTCTGCCTGACACCAGGGTGCATGACGCATACCTTTGTTTGCACGATTGTGACATGCGTTTGTGATTGCGATCGTATGACTGATAATGACTCACGGATCCTACATTGATGCGTGAGTTTGAGAGTTGTGTTTCTTTGTATGCAAACAGCTCCAGAGGCCAAACTAGGTCAGATTTATGAGGAAACGTATTTTCTGTCAGTAGCTTGAGGGTATGTCTCACCTAGTGAGAATGATGGATGATGAGCAGTTGGTATGTTCAGGGTAAAAGTAATTTTTGGAATTCTGCTCGCTTTTGATGTAGTTTCTGGTTTGCCCTCTGAGCATTCATCAAGCTTTTGTTTGATTATGATTTTCTTTAAAAAAAAAAATTGAAAAAATCCTTATGTTTATAAATGCAGTTTTGTTTTGTTTTTTTAGAATAAAAGCTGCTGTATGCACTTTATTCTCTCTGTTCTGTGTTACAGGTGTCTCACTCGGTCCTTAGCCTTGTGTTTGGCCTTATATGCACCCTGTGTCCTGTGGTATATAGCTCTTTAGCTCTCCAGGCTATTTATAAGTAGCTGCTCCAGCTTACCTGGCACTATTAATACCTACAGATTAACCACCTGTGATTCAAAGGCACCTGTGATACAGCTACCTGACACGTTTTCAGGAAAAGCTCCTCAAAGACGACTCTTAAGTTTGAGCTGCTAGATGTAGCTGGAGATAGAGCAATGCTGCTGTGTGCAGGAATGAGGATATCTACTAGTATGGTAACCTGTGGCTCCTGTTGTTACTATTTTCTGTTTGTTTATTTATTTATTCATTTTTTGTATGGAGGGGGAAAAAAGGGAGAAAAAAACAGGGACACCTCCACAGGAAACTGATTCCATGTCAAGTTGAGGGGGCTTACTTGGAAGCCAGTGTCATTAAAACTTTACGTTAATCAAATCGCTGGTTTCCAGTGTCAGCTCTCTTCTGAGCAGTGGGACTTTTAGCTGCTTTAGAGCGGCGTGACGCTCACATCACCTCGTATGATCCAGCTGTCAGCTGCCTGCACCCTGAGCTGCTGGGATGCAGTGTGAAATACATGTTGCACATTTAAAACCCTACAATTCTAACAACAGACCTGCACAATGAAAGTTAAAATACAGCACTTAATGAAGTTTTCATTCCATAAATTGCACAGCATTCTCTGTAAGCTATTGGATGAGACCTAAAATAGTCCTAACATACCTTTATCTTATTCTGCTCATCCAGTCATTAAGAATGAGACTTTTCCATTTGTGCATCGTATTACTAAAGCAATAATGAAAATAGTGCATCTGCCTTATTATATTAAAGAGAAAGTGAAATAAAAAAATGCTGTATCATAATGTTATTGTTGTACGAGACTGACATCATTTGTCTGTTGCAATTATTTTACACCAGATAACCATGCACAACACTTAAGAGTTAACAGCTAAATTAAAAATAGACATCAACTGAATTGAAAAATTATGACCACAATATACATTGTACATATTTTAAAAGAAGACAAATCCAGTAGGATAAGTGCTCTTTAATCACAAAAGTTTTCTTTAATTGAGTTCCATTGTGACAGCAACATTTATTTGGGCTCTATCAGGCTGGGCGCTGCTTCTTTGTACAATTAGAGCCTGTCTCCCCCTAGTGGCTCACTGAAGCGCTACAGTCCAGTTGTGAGATCAGGATCCAGAGATTTGATGACGAATTCATGAGATGGAAAGATTTCTTTTTCATAATGAAGAATTATTAATCATAAGATGAGTCATCGCTGCAGATTGTAATTTAAAAAAGAGCAAAGTTAGGCACCCAGTTTACCCAGATGGTAAAACTTTCACAGCATGAAGCAATTAGATGAGAGTTTTCCTTCAGCTGAGCTTGCTTCAAACTTTGATACAACGTGCTCCTGGAGTCAGTTGAAAAATTTATTTCATGAATTTAAATGCGCCTAGAGGTTTTCACAAGGGCTTTGAGGATGGATTCCTTCTCTGAGAAGAATTCCACGTCTTGCTTTTAAAGACATTTAAAAGCTGAATGTTTGAAACGCGCCGTGAATTTCAAGCAGATGCTTACAGTGTGATGCCTTTGCTCTGAACCCCAGTGGTAAGAGTTGAAAAGTGTTACGGGCAGGTTTGTGCTTGTACCTGATATCCCTGGAGATTTGGCTCACAGGGCAGGACAATGTGCGTAGTCAAGATAGTCTTGCTGATTGAGCATTCTGGCAAAACTGGTTACCAGTCTGTGTGTGTGTGTGTGTGTGTGTGTGTGTGTGTGTTCTTGTGTGTGTGTTCTTGTGTGTTCTTGTGTGCTGTGCATGCCATTGTTTTTCTTTCTTTCTCTTTTTTTGTATTTCTTAGAATTAAGGTGGTGCAAAGTGAGGTCACAGGTTCACATCCTGGCCACAATGAAATGTTCGAGAAACTGAAATAGGCAGGGAAAGTCCCTCAATATCCAGGGACTTTACCTCTTATTCCTGTGCCACAACTATTTGGAACCAGAGCAGCAGCTTATATGACTTGATCCTTTTTTTGTATTTTATTGCATTTCAAATTTGACATTCTCTCCAGATTTTTCAGTTCTTTTTATATATCCGCAGCTGTAGAAAACTTCTTTTTCATTTGTTTTACAGGAGCATGGCCTGGCCTCCTCAGAGGAGGGATTTTGGCATATTTCTGTCTCCACTCACTAATGTGTTCTGCTTGTGCCTTTCAGAGGATGACGTTGACTTAGAGGCCCTGGTGAATGATATGAACTCGTCGCTGGAGAGCCTGTACTCCTCCTGCAGTGGTCAGCAGACAGAGTCGACCCCGCTGCTGCACAACGGACAGACCTCCTCCTCACACCACCAACACCAACACCACCATCATCACCATCACTTGCAGCACAACCAGCCTCGCCAGGGTCAGCACTCACACGTGTTGAGCCACGTCTCCCCGGAGCCGCCCTCCTCCTCCTCCTCGTCCGCGGATTCACCTCAAACTAGCCTCCGACGGTCACAGCCCATGCACATCCTCGCTGTCAGGTGGGTGTTGAACTTTGCCATGTTTCATCTTGTCAGTGGTGAGCATTTGGTGTTTGTTTTATGTGATTGTAAAACCAATTTCTAAGAGTTTTGAAGTGTTTTTTTTTTTTATTATTATTTTTATTATGAAATCATTTTATTCATATCATTAATCTATTTTTTAAAAATATTTTGAGTCTATATATTTAATATTTTGTATTAAATATATTTAATCAAAAATATTTTTGTTTCTTAATATCTTAAAGATAAATTACAAAAATGTGGAATTCCAGCACATTACCCTGGACTTTAGGAGATTTCCACCATTTTCTCAAATTTTACAGACGAATTGATAATAGGCTTAATTAATAATGAAAACAATCATTCAGCAACAATCCCAGTCCCTTTCTGTTGCATACGCAGTTGAAGGAAGTCTGACTGAAGTGTCTCTCAGTAAAACGTGTACGTTCATAATCCATTCCTTGCAAAGAAAAATGCAAATAACTCTTGACATACAATGCCAATAGAAAATAGTGCAAATAGGACTTCAGAGGCAACAAAAGTATGGCACTAAACTTTAAGCTGCAATATTTTTCACCCTTAACTGTGTATTTGCACATGCATAGCAACACACTCATGCAGAGCGCAAACCCTTTTTTTCTCTCTCTGCATTTAAAAAGAAACCTTTCACTGTACAGTATAATCCCTCCACACCCTCTAGATAATTAGGCATAACGTTTCCTCCCTGCTCCCAATCTGTAGCCCTTGGATGACCCTCTCCTCCTGCTCACTCCTGCTTTGCCTCAGACTGCACCAGCAGGGGGAGAACACTAAGAAATTCTCATTTATTTGAGAGCCAAGTGCATATTTCACTTGCAATTTAAAGCCCATACCATCCTTAAGGCTGCATTCAGAAGTGGGTACGCTCACGCACGCACACACGCACACGCACACACACACACATGCACACACACGCACCCACACACACACACACACACACACACACACACTCAGGCAACATGTATAGCTGCACACTCGCAGAACGCACAAACACTTTCAAAGCAGAGCTGGTGTCGGCTCCCATTATTCGCCCTTGGACTATATGACAGAAACGGAGGAGGGATGATAAGGTAGGGGAGTATTCTGTCTTATTAGCTCTCAAACGCACACACAGACACAGGCCCTGAAGTTCATATTATTCAGGACTGACCTCTGGATAACCCTGTTCTCAAGCTCAGATGGGACAACATCAAAAGGCCTGTTCCCTTTTGAACTCACTTCTACAGAGAGATGGAGTCTGACAGAGGAAGAGAGAAAGAGAAAGAGTCTTATACATGGATTTTTTTCTTTTTCTTTGTGGAGCTGGCTTTTGAGCTAGAATTTCCCAAACAGACCTGCCCATTTTTTGAAAGATTATTAAATCCTGAAAAGTTTATGATTAGCTGTCAGATTATCATTTGAGGCTCACGCCGCATGTGTTTGATTCCAAAAAAATGCTTTAAAGTGATGTCTTGCTTCAATATTGATGCGCGATAAATATTGCAAAAAATTAGCTGGCAGGCTGCGGGGGTCTGTGATTTCCACTTGCTGGGAGACTGTTCATTATGGACAGATCAGACGGAAACAGACATGAGCCTGATACTGTACAGCAGTGCTTTATTAATTCTTACTGTCTCCCGTGCACATGTCAGCAGCTTTCATTTGAAAGTTCTCCCGTTTCACTTTTTAAGGGGCTTTTCCAGGTCACAGTGTTAGAATTACTGTAAGTTCATATTTTTACCACAGTGCTTAACAAATAAAGCTCATAGCACAAACTATGCTCTGTGCAATCCATTATAATACAATGACTTTGTCCTGTTTCTGTTGTTCAGGAGGTTGCAGGAGGAGGAGCAGCAGCTGAGGACATCGTCGCTCCCGGCCATCCCCAACCCGTTCCCTGAGCTCTGCAGCCCAGCAAGCTCACCTGTCCTCAGTCCTGGGTCTTTACCTCCTGGAGAACCCTCTTCAGGCAAATATGTAAGTGAAACCCCCACACGAACATACCATAGAAATCTTTCTCTGAAAATATGACCTTTTAGGAAGAAAGAAAAACATTTTATTTTACTCTACATTGTAATTTGGTGTGGTCGCATGAAATACAAAACACTGTCCTCATATGGTATGGGTGACTGTGTAGGAGGATTTTCCCTTTGAAAAACAGGATATGAGACATTTACCGATTTAGATTTATTTACGTGTTGATAACTGCACGAGACATGTGTAACTCAAGATACTTGTTTTGAAGGATGCAGAGTTTGCGTATCGTAAATCAGCTGTATTTAGTGTTAGACATTGAGGAATGTGTCCCTGTCTTACATCTGCACCATGTTTTGCTCATCTGAGGCATGTTGATTGCTTGCATGTGATGGTACTGTACTGGACAGTACATGTGTGTGCTCAAGAGGGTTTGCGGCTTTGTTTGAAAAAAAAAAAGAAAGGAAAAAAAAAAAAAGAATGAGGTAAAGAGCGCAAGAGCAGACGGTGTGTATGTGTGTTCATGTGTGTACCTGCACACATGACTGCATTTCTGTTTGCATTTGTGTGTTTATGCGCTGACAGAGATTTAGAGACTGGTGTGTCTGTTCCTGGAAGTCGTACTCCCTTCATCATCAGTGTTAATGGTCTTCATATGGAACCAGCCAATACTGGTTACAGTAACATACCAGTTTACAGTAATATGATGGCAGACTATTTCTCATAAATACTCTCCCTGGCTAGAATCCTGCCTGTTCTGGTCATGGTTGTTATGGTACAAGATCCTACACTACAGTTTGAGTTACCAGTTAAAGTCGATTCAAGCCAAAACACAAGTCTTAGTTTAATATGACCATTCTCAAACTCATAAATCACTTGATGAATTGATAAACCTGTGGCATCCAGTAAATGCTTAAAAAGTTTGGGAGTTTGGGCTTTGAATTACCATCTGTGATATAAATAATGCTATCAATGGTTAATGCTGGAATACGCTTTGAAATCTTGAATTTCTCTCTGTTCTCCATGAGTAGGAAAGATGTTTCTTTCTCTGTGGGAACGCTGTAGGATCAAATTACTAGCTGTGGCATAAATTCAACACTGCATGGTACATCTTAGCTCATATGGTAAATAGGTCAGAGATGAATATCTCGCTAAGTGGTTATGAGTTTTTTCTCGGCTTATTAGCTCTACCAGAACTTTCTGTAAAGCACACCTGCCTGGTAAATATTCAGAAACCGATTTATCAGAGCGGGTGACTTGCTCGGGATGGGAATGTTGTTGGTTTTTAAATTCCCAGATGGCTTATTAAGAGTTCAGCGAAGACCGGGAAGTGGAGCGTGGGGGGGTGGGGTTGGAGGAGGAGCAGGGAAACTAGAGAGGAATGGTTGCTGGGATTTGCTTTTATGATCTTACAGTAATCTTACAATCTGTCACAGTGTGATTGGATGATGTATGAAAACTGACACGAGTAACTTTGTTTTTTTGAGCCGCTTTGCTAAATGTGGGGCCACTAACCCTTATATCCCAAGACACCTTTTTCTGATTTTTATCATGAGCAGGAAGGCGTCGGATGTTTATGCCTAACACACTGTAAATCATTTAAAGTCTTTCAGCTTAGAAACACAAGTTCCCCTGCTGCCTTTAAAAATGGGGCTTAACTGCACTTTAGTTGATGAATTACTTCAAAGTCATCTTATGAGTTGTAAAAGTGTAAAACTAGCTGAGTTAAATTAACTGAACTTGAGAAAACAAGTTTGATAACCTTAAGATAATTATATCAACTAGTCACATAGATAGTGGTTACAGGCAGACTTGCTTTCCTTTTATTGTGCATTTTTAAAGAGTTCCTTTTTTTATTTGACATTTAGAACTTACAGCCGTTAAAGTCATTTCTGACGATCAGGCTGCTCCTGATTACAGTGAGATAAACGATAAGTCTGTGGATGAAGGGACTGAATTCAGTACCAACCTTTGTCATGGTTCGAATGGTTTTGATTATTAAAAAAAGAATCAAATTAATTGAACATCTGTTAACGATCCACAGCAAGTTCCAAGCCAAATCTGTTTTCTCAAACTACAACCAAAAAAATGAGTCTCTGGAGAGTTCTAATTCTCTAACAATGCATCCTGGTGAAGTGTGCTTGTACCCTAGCTTATAAACTTATGAACCTAATTTAATGAGTTAAGTGAACTTTCAGCTTTTCGCTCCTCATTTAAAGTAAAAATGCTCCAAGTTGTAATAACTCTTGTTTTGAAGTTCTTCAGTGGTCTGAGCAGCATTTCAAGTTTGACTAATTGCAAATTAGTAAATATCACACATATACATATATATTTTACTTTAACTAGAAAAGATTAGTTGAGCTGACTTGATTCCTCTATATTGCTTCTCAGTGTACAAAACGCCTGCAAACTTCTCCAAAAGAAGTTCATATATAGTTCTACATCACATATTACCAGTCATATTAAAAACACAAGGGTTCAAATGGAGCATAAAACAGATAAACAACACATGTCGGAGCATTGCCTTGCATTTGTTCAGAACCTTACAACATGCCTGTGAAGCTAAACTGTTCCTAGATATAAGAAAAACTAAGTAAGTTTTCCTGGTTTTGCTTGGATCAGCAACCTTTTGTAAAAAAGCAATGGTTAGAAAGCAATGGAAAATGTAATTCCTCGTGTGTGTTTACAGTGCACACACTGTGTACACACTCATGTAAACTTGTGTGAGTGTTCTGTGCATCCGTCCATGCATATGGGTGTTTGGGTTTTTTTGTTTTTTATTTTGTAGATGCATGTGTGTTTGCGCTCACGTCTGCCTGTTTTGTCTTTGTGAGTTCTGTAAACTATTTACAGCATTGGCAGTGTCTGTCCATTGTTGATGGCAATGGAAAGTATGTCTCATTGTAGCTGTTCCTCAGTGGAAATTCAATTCAGCACCTTTCCACAGAAAAACTCTCCCATGGAGCCATCACATTGCAACGTGCCTCTGGGCTCCAGCTTTGGAGGCATAAGACAGCAATAACACCGCTTTCTTGCACTATTGAGTGGTTCAAATGTGTAAAGAAGTGGTGATTGCTTTGAGTTTGATGGTGAGCAGGTAAATTCTTGGGACTGCCCTCCAAAACCTCTAACCTTCGTCATTTAACCCATATGTACCCTGTTCCGTGCCATATTTTCTCTCCGCATTTATCTCTGTCTTAGTCAGTCTGTCTCTATCTCCCTGTCTCCCTGCCGTCCAAATATCCAGTTCAGGCAGCCAGCCTGCTGTTGAGAAGTTTCTCTGTTTATTTTACTGAATTTTCCAACCTCCAGGCGCTTTCTGACAGAGTCTCATACTTGTGTCCCTCTGCTCCTCCTTACCTCACTCCTTGGCCTCTGTGCAGGAGGCATGAGGATGCAGTGCAGGGCTGTCAGGAATCACTGGGCAAGCTGTGTGACATGGCCATATGATTCCCAATGACCTCACTTTCCTCCACTGTCCTCCCCCGCCTCCGTCTTCCTCCATTTCTTCATTCTCAGCTCTCCTCGCTCCAGCTTGTCTTCTCAGCTGCACACCTTTCAAGGGGGGAATCAGAAACAGATTTTTTTTTCTTTTTTTTTTTTCAGTTATTTGAAATTAGTGCTGTTTGCTTGATGCTGCATAGAATTTCTAAAGTGTTAAGAGGAGGTTTGCATGCTAAACTTCTGATTTAAGCTTTTATTCTGATCTGTAGGTGTATAATCAGTCAAATACAAGGTCATAACAGAATGAATGCATTTAGTTGGTTGGACAGATACATGATGAGAACATCAAGCTAAGAAGCTGTAAAAATGTGCACAGGTGGGCACATGGTCTTAAAAATCGTAACTTTTTTTTGCCTGCTGCGGTTTATTACTAGAATTTTTTTACTTTTGTGTAATTCTAAAACTCTGTACATCTTCCCATATGCAGCCATGCTGCCAAAAAGCCAGTATTACAACCATGTTTCAGTTATAGGAACTTGGCCTGTCTAGTCCATGTTGTGCAATGGAAAAACCTATAAGAATGTTTTTCAGTCTAGGTTCTTGACAGTCTGTCCTCAGTAGTGCAGTGGAGGGTGATATTCTTTGCTTTGTTGGACACTCTGTTCCCATTGCTGCCCCACTCGTTCTAGTGGGGGAACACCAATTTGATCACTGGGTTGCCAGATTTTCTTGGATTTAGTGTTCTCGGACTGGATGTCCTGTAGCTCGCTTTGCACTATAGCATGGCAGGATCCCAATGGCCTGCCTCTGCCCCTCCGGTCTGTGTTTCATTATCGACCTAATGGCTGGTCTATTTCTGTGTGTCTTGGACTGTACATCAGAGTTTATCTTGATGTGTCTCTCTGTCGTCGCTCCACATTTCGGTCTTTTGCTCCAAACTTTCAGTTTAGTCAAAAGTCCTGTTGATCTCAGCGAGGCAGGAGCACCGTGGATAGTGTCCTGTAATAATTTAGTTCTCTAGATGAATACTTATTTGCACATGATGAAGTAGGCTAAGAGACCTAAAATAGCGCCTGGTGCCAGACAAGCTGGGGAGATTGGGTTGGCACTAATAATGTTAGCAAATGGGCTGTTGGTCCTCAGTGCCAGCATCGTTGTCCAGTCGAAAAAGCCTGACTAAAAGATAGTGCTACTGCTTTCTGTATCATGTAGATTTAAGCAAACTCGCTAGCATCTCAACATGCTTTCTTTCTTTAACAAAACAAGGATTTGTTTGTATTCTTCACTCGGAGACTGCTGTGTACAGCATGTAAATATGGTTACAGTTAGACAAATATTGCACCTGACCGTGTCACGTTTTCCGATAGTTGCAACAGTATGTGAAAGTGAATACAGCTATGTATGTAAATTGTTCAGGGTTATGCAAATATTGCACCTATTTATAGTATTAGATTTTAAAGTGGAAGCAGCATGTACAGTATGAGAGACATGTGCAGCCCATAACCAGGATGCAGAATTTAACTATACATATAACCAATTTATACGTATGTTTGAACAGG